TAATTTCAGTTGTATAGTAATAAGGTTTTCTTCAGGAATGGTAGGGGTGTTTTACATAATATTTAAGGGGGAGAAACTCTTTTCCATGTATTTGTGGGCTTCACAGAACATTTTCTCAAAAACTACCTAACCGAATTGAATGATTTCTATTATGTCTTGAAGAATCACAAATTATCTCTGCTTGCTCACTAAAAAGAAAGCTTACACAATTTGTTTTCTTTGAAAATCCCCCCTTTCTTTTTGCTGATATTTTAAGAAAAACAGACATGGAGGTACAATACAAGTAAACAAACTAAGAGGCCGGTATGTTTCTTAGATTTTGAATATATGTATGACAATACCCTGATTTCATCAGAGACACATTAACAAATTAATAATTATCTTGTGTTTCCGACCTCAAATATGTATTGTCATATATCAATAGACGCTAAATTTATATTCCAAAAAAATAAAAAAGGTTAAACATTTTTTGTTGATTAGGTGGTAATTCCTCACATAATGCCACCCCAAAACGGCAACAAACCTAACCTAACCTAACCAAACCGGGTCCAAAAACTAGGTAACCCGAAAAACGTTTTTAAATCCAAAACCAGAAACCCTCTCAACAAAAAAAACTCGTTTTCAAACCCAAAATCTCGAAAATCTGTTACCATTTCAGTTACTAACTCGATTTACATTAAAATGGAAAAAATGCCTTTTGCATTGAAGTTCACAATCGTGTAAATATTATCTAATATCAATGTTGCATATTTTTACAGAAGAATAAAAAATCTTAGATAAGAATATGTTTTGACAAGTAAAATAAGAACGAATACTGATAAATATTTTAAAAGGCTATCGAATTCGCCAATATGTTTGTACTTATTATAATTTTTGATTTAAGTAAAAGTTCTGTTTTTTTTTTTTTTTAATTGTATTATTCAATTAGCTTCCTGTACATAAGCGAAAATGGGGGGGGGGCTAGGGTGGGCTTAGCCCCCCCAAAAAAATTAGGTTATGCATACAATTTTGAAATACAAAAATATATTTACCTTTATGTATATTTAAAAAAAAATTGCAGCCCCCCCAAGTTAAAAATTGAAATTGCGCCTATGTTCCTGTGTATTTATTTATCCCGAAAACTATGGATTTGACATTACTATCAGTTATTTTTGATTATTCCCTCCTTTCAACCCCCACCACTCCAAGTGATAGGAGTGTCTTATCCCACATTTGTTTTCAAATCGTAAGTCATATATGAACCAAGTTAAGTGAAAATTTCTTTAGTCGTCAAAGACTTCTAGAGAAATATACTGAAACATACTAACATGTATATAATGTGTAAATAAATAAAGAATAATAATATGCAGATATATAGATTGATAGATAGATAGGTATTGACAATACCTCGTAATTCGTATCTACATTTTTGACATTTTCCAGGGGAAACAATGAACTGATTATTTTGTATCACATTATATACATATTATAATATACGCTGTATCATACAAAACGAATTATTAATAATATTAAAAGAAGTATGAAAACAAAAGGAGACGATTAGTATTATCTTGTTATGTATTCTGTACATTTTTATTTTTAAATTCAAGTTTTGGTTTAATTACTAACAATGGTTGTTTTGTTAGCCGGTAGTTAATATAGGTACTTTCCGAGAAACAAATAATTTTAAATTTAATACCCGTGTTTTAGAAATTATACTACTCCGAAAACAAAGAGCACAAATGTATATTTATTACCCTAGTGGCTAAAAAGCCAGAGCACTGTAGCCCAGATTATAATATAATACCTACCTACCTATATTATTAATATATATGAGCCCAAGTTTTATAAACTCCATTAGGCATTGTGATTTCAACAGCTACTTTACATTTTCCAAAGTATTTACCAAATAATAAAATTACCGATTTAGTTATTTAGAGAAAAGATAAAGAACAAATTATGAAATTATTTAAAGCTCTTACCCTTCTTTTATTAAGGACATGGTGCGCTAAAAAATTATACTAAAAGTCGTTTTGCGGGGAAATCTTTCTAGGCTTAATTTTTTTTAATTGGGTTTTTGCATATTAATAAACTTGATAATGTATTAAGAATAACTATGTAACTGTAGAATTCCATAACATGTTTAATTACTATGTAAATATACAAATTTTCACTCGAAAATTATGAAATTATGCATAAAACTTTAAATATCAAAACTACTATTCTTGGCTTTACTCTCACAGCAGTAATTCTTACACAGTTATCACTACGGTCGTCAGTCACTTTCCTCTTTTTACCAAATAGTGTCAATTATATATTTTATATACATAGCACAACGTTTATAATATGTGCATACAATTGATATATTTTATTTAAAGCTATTAAAATAAATAATATTACGAATTTTACCTAATTTATTTTTATCCGCTTACACACCGCATTGGCATGTCAATTAACTAGGAATTATAGTCATTTTATAATTATTATTATATATTATTGATAATTTAAACTTTAAAATAAAAATTAAGATTATTAAAATTAACCTAAACTATACTGAGACTTCAATAAATAAAATAAATAGATACCTTTAACATTCTCTTAAACATTATAGGTATGTGAAATTTGATATAAAAAATCATAAGACTTTTCTAAACATTTATATATATATATATATATAATTAACTATTAAGCTAATGTCATACTTACTATTAAATGTTTTGTTTCACTTGTACAACGCATATAAGTATTAACTATTAAAGGCGCTATTGCACTGCTACCGTGTTCGCGTATTTCGTGTTGACCGTGTGAAACGTTACTTCGGATTGGTCAATTCATGTTATCGACGACTTGATACCACAGGTTACCGTAAAGTTGAAATAATCTAACTTGGTCGACATATGATTTTAAAAATGGCATGTATAGTATCAAAATTTACAAAACAATAGATTTTTGTATACTTTTTAATTTTTATAATCAGTTCGATAATATTTTTAAAAAATGATTAACAATACCAATATCAAACATATTATACCAAATCCACGAAAAAACGTCGTACGCGAACACAGTAGCAGTGGAATAGCGCCTTAAATCTAATACGTTATACGTAGACTATTAAGTATTGTACGTGTAAGAATTGACAGAGTTTATTTACCTAACACAAACTAAGGATACGAGATCATATACGTAAATCGTTGGTTTATGACAGTTTTAAGAGAATGTCACGCCGTAATTTTAGGTTCAACAAACTTTTTAACTATCCTATTTTATTTGTAGTACCTAGTATAATAAATTTTATTTATTAAAATTAAAATGTTTTATAGTAAATCTTGAACACAATTAGAAAACAATATTACTCACTGACCAGTGTGCTATACGTTTTTTTATAACTCTTAACGACTTTATTGTAGTTACTAATAAAAAAAATTATAGTAATTCTTTAATAACTTTTTTTTAAAAATGTCTGTATTTAATTACCTTAACAGGTACATAGCCGAAGGGAGGCCTAGCCCTCCTTAAATTTACTCTGGCCCAGGGCCCCCCCCCCTTAAAAAAAAAAATATGGCCGCCCCCCCCCAAATTCAAAATATAATTCTTTTTATTAAATATTATCAAAAACAAGCTAGGGCATATAAGTTATATACATTGAAATAAATTTATTGTGATTACTATTAGGTAATTACATCATCATCATCATTATCAAGCTTAACGGGCCTTAATGTTCAACGCTATCATCATGAGCGCTAACACACTGCCGCCTTACCCACTCGGCCACTCCTCTTCCTACTCCTCTTACTATTAAGTAATATAGACATTATTATGACTGCATTTAAATTTGTACTGTTTGATATTTATATACAGAGTGGCGGAGATGAAGGACCACATTTTTAATGGGCGCCATAATTTTATCTCATTTCCACTTAGACGGCTACGTCAATAAACAAAATTGCCGATATTGGTCAAACGGTAACCCAAGAGAATTGCACCAACAGCCTCTTTACAGTGGAAAATAATAATTAATTGGGCCTAATTTTTTGAAGATTAAAAAGGACATGCAATGACGGTGAATTCCGAGCGTTACGAGGCTATGTTCCCTAAATTTGCTAAAACTTTTTTTTTTACCCCTCTACCTCCCTAATTAAAATTATGGCACTCATTACAAAATATGTCGTCTTTCATTCTCCGCCACACTATACGTATAATATTGTATTATACATTTTCTACTTACATGTGTACTTTTTTTAAAAAAATTGAAATTGCTTAAGAAACATGTTAAGTTTAAAAATAATTGATCACTTTATTTTTTATTATAACATTAATATTAGTTAATTTTTTTTAATAGAAGATAAATATGTTCTAAAAATATTTATTTTTCATAGCATGAACAATTTATCCCAATAGTGAAGATGTTGGCCCTTCCAAAATGTATTTACTGGTTACATGCCTATACCATCTTCATAAAAAAATTACTAGATTTCTGTATAGATAATACATTATTAACAACAAGAAAGAATATAGTGAAATACACTATATTAATATAAATAATTGATTGTGTATACGTATACATTGGCGGAGATCGGGAGGGGGGGGGCTTGCGAGGGCTTAGCCCCCCCAAAATAATTAATTTGTAGCTGAAGCCCCCCCCAAAAATTAATTATTTTCTTTGTTTTTTTAATCGCTATATTAAAGGAAAATTTCATAGCATTGTACAATAAAAAATAAGATTAAAAAAAAAATTATTCAAATACCATGATAAGTCTACAACCTTATTAGGTCGGTGTCACAATTGCGAATCTCTGCGCGCATATTCCGCGAGTGTGACTCCGGCCTAATTTTGAATCCGTGTAAAAGCTCGTTGTAATGTCAACAAAAATTCTATTAATAGATTGGGAACATTTGTGGGTTTCTTATCGTTGTTTACCGTAATTTATGACGGCCGACGGGAAAGTAATAGTATACAGGTTTGGCGGTCGGGTTGCTGTTCATTTAGTGATAATCTCAAAACTACAACCCGCAACGGCATAATGGGTTTTAATATATTCCATATTTTTTAATTTAAATCAAAAATACCTGAAGCTACAGCGACAGGAGTGACTTCTAATCAAGTAAGTAATAATTTAATGTAATTAAATAATACCTAAATTTATTTAATATCGTTATTTTAATTCAATTTATATTTGTATCCTTGATACTTTTTTATAATTTAATAATTAATGTCTTTTAGACATGCAGTTTAAATAATGAATCAGCAAAAATTGATAATGATACAGATAACTTTAAGTTAGATTTGGGCGATTTAAAGTCTGGTCCAAAAAGACCCATACTAAAGGTAAATTATTTATAAAACTAAAAACATAGCTAAATACAATATATTTTATTTACTATTTAGTGAATTATTAATGGTTATTAAATATATTTAGACATTCCCATTAACGAAATTTGGTACACAAAATCAGGGCTTTAATTCTTCATATTATGAGAATCATACTTGGCTTGAGTACAGTATAAGCCAGGATGCAGTATTTTGTTATGAGTGTCGAATATTTGGAAGCTATCAAATAGAACCTACATTCACATCTATTGGGTTAAAAAATTGGAAAAAGGTAAATTTTCTTATTATTTATTAATTATTTTATTTACTTTGTCAGTATGCAATCACTATTAATAATAAATATTTCCATACAAATTAAAAGTAGAAAGTTTAGCAATATGTATATTGCTCTATTAATGTATATTTATTTATATAATTAGGTAATTCAATTTTTAAAATTAAAAAAAGTGAATATATTATTTTTTCTTTATAATAATTATTTTCTAAATAAGAATTAATTTTTGTTGTGTAAAGTATAAATATTATTAAACAATAACCAAATAACTTTTCATTTGTTTTTTATATTTCATAGTTATGTGGATCCAAAGGTCTTAAAAATGGTAAACAATCAAAGCTTGATGCTCATGCCAGTACAAAAACTCATTTAACTTGTATGGCAAAATGGTCAGGACATAATGATGTTAAAAAAACTGACACAGTTCACACTCAGCTTTCGCCAATAGAGAATATATCAAAAGCCCAATTGATATAATAGTTTATTTAGCATCTCAAGGATTAGCCTTCAGAGGCCACGATGAAACAAATACTTCATTAAATCAAGGTAATAAATAATCACCTAATGATAAGTATTAAGTGATTAAAGATAGAATTTTTATTTTTTAATTATTTATTAAATCATATTTCTTAGGGAATTTTAAGGAAACCTGCGTTTTACTATCCAAGCATGTACCTACATTTTCAGAAAAATTCAACAAAGAAACAAATTACACTAGTCACCACATTCAAAATGAAATTATTAATATATGCTCAAATAGTGTTAGAGATTCAATTATAGATGACATTGGTTCAGGGACATTTAGTATAATGTGTGATGAAGCAAGGTAAATTCTTAAAAAAAGTGCTTATTGAACAAAAATATTTGTATTTTATATATTTTTTATAAAACTTAATAATTCATGAATTTTGATTTGATTTTCTAGATGTTATAAAGAAGAACAAATGTCTCTTTGTGTTCGATATGTTAATGATTTAGATATTAATGAGAGATTTCCGGGATTTATTGACTGCTCTACAAAACAAGATGAAAACTTAGGTTTAAAAACAAAAACTATTGGGCGCATTAGTAACACATGATGAAATTGTAGGTATAAAAACTGCGAAGCTATAAAACTGTGTTTTAAGAGTATTATTATTATACTTGAAGAAGAAATAAAAAACAAAGCTGATAACGATGTTAATGAAGCAATAGGTTCAGTTTATAACATTGTTTTTATCCATTTGATATATATTTCATTAGTTGTTTTGCTTTTTTGATAGGAATACACTCAACAATTACAAAAGGCCCATTTGTTATAGTTTTTTTCATCATGCACTACATCTTGTGTTCCATTAATATTATAAGCAATAAGTTACTTATGCAGCATTGGTTATTAATGGTGTTATAAAAAACTTTCAAGACTGCCGAACCTCAGACAGTTTTGCAGGTTTATGGACATAAATTCAAACATTTGCTGAAGAACATGATATATCTGTAGATTTACCATCCCGTGCAAAAGATAAGTTTTATTTTCTTTACCTATTTCTTCAATATAATTTTTTTACTAAGATTCTAATAAAATGTCTTATTTTATATTTAACTAGAGTCCAAAAGAAAAAGACTACAGTCAAACTCGTTTGGATAAGTTCTTAGTAAGCTCAACCACAGGGGCAATATCTGAAGCAATGGATCACGAAACAACAAAAGCTGAAGATTATTTTAGAATCAATATATACTTTAAAATTCTTGATTCCATTATAGTTAATTTAAGAAAACGATTTTCCACGGAAAATATGTCTTTAGCTGTCGGAGTTGACGAATTTATGAAACTAAACTACGTTGACAGTGCTCAGTTCATTAATCATTATAAGGTAATTTAACTTCTTATATTTTAATAAATGTTATAAAATTATAAATACTATGATTAAATTAATTTATTTTGATATAAATATAATTTTAGGATTTACCTGATTTAAATATTTGTGAAGAAAACCTTAGATCCAAAATGATGGTTGCTAAAAATTGCCTTGTTCAACCAGGAAAAGGAGATATTGAAGATTTAAAAAAGAATATTACACCTCAAGTGTTCCCTAAATTTTATAAAATGCTCCAAATTGCTTTAACAATTCTTACTAGCTCTGCTACGTGTGAGATGAGTTTTTCTGCAATGAGGAAAATAAAATCTTATTTAAGAACATCTATACAGCAAACCCGATTTAATGAACTTTCAATTTTATATATAGAAAAAGATATCACTAAAGCATTAAACTGTGAAAATATTCTAAATACATTTGCTACAAAATGTAATAGGATAATAAATTTATAATATTGTTATAGTAATTGTGTAATTCAATTTCTTGTTGTTGGGCAGTGTGGGAGCGAAGCCCCCGCGGTTTAGTTTGCTATACCTATAATTTAAGCCCCCCTAAATCTTAAATAGGATCTCCGCCTATGTACGTATAACACTGTCATCTGTAGATAACTGAATCAAAGTTCGAACTCCTATACCACTATAAATTATGTTAAATGTTTTGTCCAAATTTGTTTCGGTTGATTCGAATTTATTTTTATAGAAAGTAATCAATATTCATTCGCACCTTAAGAACAAGACCGCCACAACTCAAAATGTATCAACTGAGTTACTACTTTCGAAAAGTAAAAAAATTGCTCTATATAATGAAAAACCGCCTCATTCAATATCATTTTTATTTTGCCAGCAAAACAGTTATTCAACATTAAATTTATTCAATTTTAAGCTAATTATCAGAGTAACAGAGCCATGTTTACTTTATGGCAGTTTTGCACTTTAAATAAATACAATTCATTTCTGAAGTCAAAATTCAAGGCTGCCTTATTTTAATTTGTGGCTTTCTTACGCTGAATGAAAACTAATTTTCTTGTGATGTGTCGAGTGAAAAACAGCAGCGTTTAGAGAAGTACTGAATTTTATAGCTTGAATTCAATAATGCAATATTTAAGTATATAGCAGTCTTAAAAAAAATTTGTGTACACAATACAGCGACATCTCAAAAAAAATTACAGTACTGCATTCACTTAAAAAAACGAATTCATCGTAAACGCCAATCGCCATAAGTCTAAACTTTTGGGTTTAAAAGAGTATTTCAAAAATGTTATCATGTAAAGAATGTTTGTAAGAATTTGAGTTTTTAGTTTCAAGTTTTTAGGTAAAGAACCCTTTATAATATCTAGTTTCAAACTTCAAATAGCTTTTTCTCAAAATGTATATTTTAAGTTGTGGCGGTCGTATCCTAGAGGTATGTTATGATAATTGAGTATTAAATAAAAATACCATAGTGCAATGTATTTTGTATCTTAAAATCACATACAAAATACTAAATACAAAAAGTATTCTGTATTTGAAATACTTGTATTTTAGATACTGCCCATTCCTGGGTAGGAAGAGAAAAATGTTTACAAAATCTTAGTTTTAAGAATTTTTGTTTACATTTTCTGTTAAAAGACTTTTATCTTACTATTGAAGTAGCCATTATAACAAAGTAACGAGTTTTATAGATATAATACAAAAATATAATAAACATTAATTACCTAAAACAAAAACATTAAATAAATTACTAATCGTATTGAGTATCACAGAGAGTTATTGTGTTTTTGAGGTTGTCGTGACCATATTATAATTATTCCTTGTATATCACTTGTAGCCAACATAGTTTCATCATAGTTGAACGTAACACCCAATGTAACACAAGCATGGCCTTGTAGTTTATTGACAGCATAGTTAGATTCTCTTTCGACGTCAACGAAATAGACACAAGAATCTTCACTACTAGTAACTTTAAAAAAACAATGTTTAGTTTTTAATTAAGATGGACGGTAAACTTTAAAATTTAACTCACCAACACATGCACCCTGTCTAAATGACATGATGGGACAAAATGTTGACCGTAATAAATGATTACTGTGCATGTGAGGAACGAGAAATTTTTTTTTCAATTGCAATAAACCATCATCACTTTCTGAAACCCTAAAATATTGGTTGAATTAAATCAGTTGAAAATTCATTATTATTTCAATATTATTGTTCTGTAAAACTAACTTATATAGACAAAGGATGTTATTTGAACAATTTGCCAATAACATTGGATCTCTAGCTTCTCTACTGATCCAAGACCTCCAACTTAAACAAGTGATTGCACCACGTTTTGGTGTAGTTATAATTCTGTGGCACTTAGTCAAAACGCTTCCATCACTACTGTTAAACTTGAGTGACACTATTTCACCCTAAAACATCATTTTAAATTTTAATAAACATAAATGTATAATAGACTGGTTCAAAAATTAATTAAATTTTTGTTCACCTTCGCAACGAAAAATGAGCCAATTTTTTGAACCCGTCTAATGTATAATTTATAGACCCTTAGAAATTAAATTTATTTATTTAGTTTTACCAAACTAAATAATTTATAAAATTTTAGTAACCTATTTGGTATTGTGGAACATGTTTTAAAATATATAAATCTTGTTATTGTATATTTTAGTAATTAAAGAAATCACCTTATCATTCCCTGTCCATATAATTTGTCCACTGCTATCAATTGCTAACGATAGAATTTGACCACCAATTTTTTGTTTACCGCCTTTAGGAAACATACCAGTTGATACATTTAACACACAGACAAATCCAGCTTTATTACCAGTCTAAATAATAATTATAAAATTCATTACTATTTATTTGTATAAGATTATAAAGAGATTTTACATAATGTGTACTACGACTCACAATTAATATATTGTTATTGACAGGATTGAAAGAACAAACTAATACAGATGAAAAAAATGGGTCATTAACACATCTTAAACAACAATGACGAACCGCATCCCAAAAACAGATCGTTGCATCTAACGAACAACTAGCAATTAATTCATCTGATGCAGACCAATCACAACCTAAATAATAAAATTATTAAGTATATCAATAATATGCTATTATGAAAATATTTCACACCAATTACAAATTATATCTTTGTAATAAAACAAACAGAATTTACACATTTAAGATTGTTAATACTAATTTGAGATTGTTTAGTTTTCAAATAAGAAATAGATTAAAATATTATGTATTCATTTACTCACATTATGTTTACTGGATAATTGTTTTAGCTCATACTATAGTTTTATTTACCAACAAAAACACTTTGTTAACTCAGTGTAAATGACCGCTAAGTAAAAAAAAAAATTAAGTATTCCAACATAAGCCTTAAAATACGTTATATAATATAGGACCTAAGTAAATACCATAATGTAATATATGTATTATACATCGTTGCTAACAAATAAAAATCTGTCTACATATTAAACCAGTCATGAAAAAAAGTAAATTTAGTTTACATAGCCGGAAGTCAAAGTTTTTTTTCCTACTTCCGAGTTAGTAAATATAGCACTTGTTATAATATGAATATATATTGCTTAGCAACCATTTTCACTGAGTTAACAAAGGGTTTTTGATGAGATATCAGTAGTTTTTTATTACATAAAAGTAGAAATGACACAGAGTAGTCACTCATTATTACAGAATATAAAATGAGAACCTTTTATTTTTTTATATAATATTATCTTTATGAGTGACAACTTGTACACTTAGTGTGCCAATGATTTTTGAGTACCTACTTAAGAAAAACATGAGTATATATGAATGTAAAATGTAGTACTTGTAATACAATAATAATTGCAAATCAATCAGACTACAACAACACCAAATAATAACACATAATACTCAACAAACAAAAATCACCAACAAGTGTCGCAGCTAAACAAGGACACGACACATTGTCATTTGTCAATTAACTGCAGTCAGCAACAACGTCGTGCCGGGTGGCCCAATCCATCAGTAAAGGGGCAAAATTTATGGTAAAATGTCTACGCGTTTGATGGGATTGCGATGCTTGGTGTATAGTATACACAGCGGTGGACGCTACTCTTTTTTTTTTTTTACTTAGCTCCACGCCACTACCGTGTCGCTGGATTCCAAGATTTACCTGTTAAATCTTGTACGAAAATAATTTAAAAACCACTTTAATAGTTTTAAAGCATGTTTAGATAAATTAATAATTGCTTGATCACATTCTTTAGGTCAGCTTCTAGTTTTGATAAGAAATATTATTATATTATTTGATTAACTACAACAAGAATTCATAAAATAAATTTAATAACGAATTGTATGATTACATTTTTATAAGGGCAAATTATATTATTATTAAAAGTATTTGATTTTTTTATGGGAAAAAAAATTATGATGAATAACTAATAAACATTAATTTTGACTAACTGAGGCACCTTGAAGACTCTTTCTTTTTGTGAATACTTCATAGCTCTTTAATAAGTAATTATAAGCCAGGTGTACTGTTAAATAATAATTATTGGATATTAAAAACATACCAGTAACTGGTCCAGTATGATATTTTAATATAGCTAACACAGATGGAGGCGACATTAAAACATCACATATGCTAAGAGTTCCATCATTTGACGCACAGCATAATTTTGATTTGTCATTATTGGCGAACTTGAGGACAGTCACTGCATCAGAATGCTAAAAGAATTATTCAGAAATCACGTATTCATATTTTAAATAATGTTAATCATAAACTGTTGTTAAAACAGGTAACATAATTGACAGAGCGGGTAGGGGTACATTTATTTATTAAAGACAAAACATTGTTTTTAGATTAATGTGTTAAAATTGAAATTTTAACACATTAATGTATAATTTTTTTCCCCTAGCAGTTACTAGGTGAATTGTGGAGTTGTACCAAATATCAGGCAATTGAAAAAACTAATGCAACTTAATACATTTGTTTTTCAGTTTAAATAATCATGCCACAAAATAGATAAAAGTATTGGTCTATTCTGTGTTACTTTAGTCTATTCTGTTATCAAAATTAATAATGTAATTAACAAATAATTATTAAGTAAAAACTAATACCTGATCATAAATATGATGAACACTATCAAAAGCATAATTTTCTTCAATTGTGTTGTTTCCAACCAGTGCCCTCGACGCTTGAGCTTGAGAAGTTGGTATTGGAGTTAAATCATAATAACTACGGGAAAAGAAATCCATTTCTACTGAGGCATCTTTGTTCATATTCAGACTCATCTAAAAGAGATAAGAATTAATTTATACCTACCAACAAAATTATTTTCATAACTAAAATCCAGGTGAACAACTTATATGAAAAATACTCTTTATTTTATCACTCGCATTTCTTATAATCCTTTTTTAGATTCATGTTTTTTTTTTTGTCATTTATAGTTTGATTCAAAATCAAAGTTATTGAAACAAAATTTAACATTTATCTAACAACATTCAGCTGCCCTCTCCTATTAATAATTGTATTCTAAGAATTTAAAAATCTCAGAGGCAATTTAAAAATAATAATTTGTTACTCAGCTACTGGCTAATAACAATTAATATAATATATTGCATATTATGATATCTATGTATAAAAGTGTACGACAAAAATTTAATTTTTGTAATATATCCTAACAAAATAGTCATTTAAAATTCTAAACAAAAAAACATACATAATTTTAATATAAATAACTCAAAAACTAGTTATACAAAACTTGACAACCTAGCTCGTTAAAATTAAAATATAAATATTTAGTACTTAAATATTATTTTATTATTGAACAAATTTATTTTTTAGTTTTTCAGACTTGTTTATTCTGAAAATTTAGGCGAGAGGGCAGTCGTCTGCAGGGCTTCAAGAGCTCATCAGATTCATTATTTCTATAAATTAATAGATAAATTGATATTCATTAATAATTGAAACATTACCATACTAGTACTTTGACTGCCAGCACTATTTGATTGAATATCCAAATGAACATTGTACTTATTTTGTAAAATTGCAGATCTTATTTTTAAATATTTTCTTCTAATATTACTAGATGGAATAATGTCCTAGTAGAAACAATGGACACAAATTATAATATTAGCATAATAATGAAGTAAGTATTCATTAACTTACATCTTGTTTTGATTTTTCTCGTAAAAGTTGATTTCTCCTTCTAATATAAAGTGTTCCTATAAAAATAAAATTTAACTGTAAAACTTTTTATAGGTAATTAAAATTCCACATTATTAATTTTTAAGGCTTGGTAAATATGCATAATTTGTAACTTAAAGTGTCTTATTAGGAAACATAATAAAAAAAAACACTACTGAAACATATTAGGGATAAATAAAACAACAAAATGTTTATTTTATTTTTAATACATAACATATTATTTTTTGTATCGATTGTATTAAATTATAAAAAACAAAATGTACGTCAATCATTTTTATTTGTTATCAATAAATATACGAGCTTTTAGGAGGATGCCTTTAATTATAGGGTTTAACTAGTGGTTAAAATATTAAATATTCAGTTTCCATATGTCACATCATTATATAATTTTTCCATAGCTATTGGGGTCCATTAAATTTTGGCTCCTATATCAGTTAAATCTAGTAATGCTTTATAGATACCTAAATGGCTGTTTCATATATTAGCAACTACAAATTTAAATAATCAACAGTTAACATATGTGACTTCTACCTACTAATTTCGTGTAAGCTAAATTAGTTAATTCCATATGGTAGATGAATTTCGATAGACCGAAAGTGTGGGTGGATTTTATAGAATGTATAAAATGGTATCATAAAGGAATTATATTATATTTTGTGTTGTTTTATTATACTTGATATGGAGATTTATAAAGAGAGAGAACTTGTGGCTGGAAATTCCATTTGTATGGCATAAGGCAAAAGAAAAAATAATAAATAATCAGTTTTGTTTTTATAGATATAAAGTCATTATATTATCACTCACGAAAATTAGGATGATTTGTAGCTCTGTAGGCATTAAATTTTGAATCTAATACAAACGCCTGTTGTTGCCACATGTTAGCAGAACACTATCAATCCAAACTTTAACTTTTGTACACTACAAGGCGTTTGAAAATACTACAATTTAGTTTAATAGCAATGGATTTGGGCATTAAGTAAAATAATTATAATGCAATTATTATACTATTATTAAAACTAGTATGTGAGATAATATTATGGAAATTGGCAAATGCCAAAGCAATAAACGAGAATTATTGTTTTTGTTGACACTGAAAGTTGATAACGAGAACAATACACTGATAAGAGGTTTAAGGCTAAGGTAGGGCCACGAACATATTTTATATACTATTAGGGCGTTAGGCAGTAGACACGTTCTTAGAAGATATTCTAAGGACTAAGGCCGTGCTATTATTTTTTTTTTTATAGTGTAGGCCATAACATGAACAACAAATAAACAGGCATGAATGCTAGATAATAACGCGCAGAAAAATAGTCCACAAAATTGTTTACCACAGAATAGATTAAATTTTAGTCTATTATACGTTCGTGGTCTATTCTGTAACTTTGCCGTGTTAATTTCTCATAACTCATTAGAAGTGATAGCATCTTCCATGGCTGGGGCAAATATGCAAGATAGGAAAATTTCGTAATCTAGGCTTTAGCAATCATGCCTGTTTATATAGTCATGGGGCTTAATACAATAACTAATGCGATTGCGTAATGTACGAGAATTGAGAATATTAATATTAGTTCTGCTTGGCAAAAATGTAATAATTATTAATTATATTTGTTATACACATGTTATTTTAATACTATGAAAACACCCATAAATAACCTTGGGAATTTGAAAGCTTATTAGTTATTATTATTTATTTGGTAATTAACCAAGTAGATGACTTTTTTTTTTATTAAAATAAAAATAAAATCTGTATAAATTATACAATAAGTATTTGCGATAAAACAATATATACATATAACTTCAAATATCTTGCGGACCAGTGGCGGAACTCCTATTGACATTAGTAACTTAAATTAAATTATAAAAGCATATGAATTAATTTTAGTTTTATAACGCGATGTAACCAAATTTAATTAATATTTTATATAGGTAGTTAATCAGTTATGGATGAACCGATAATAACATTATGAATGGTTTTTTACAGACAAAAGTTTTCGTCATCAACGACATACATTGTCTTTCTGTGATTATGTTTGATTGGTTAATAATTGGTATTATAAAATATTAAAACTTGAGTGTTTGTAGAATTTAATGATGGAGGAGAAAAAAAACATTTTAATGTAAATACCACAATGATTTTTAGAACTAAAACAGTTTCAAAAACTAAAAAGGCGGTATTGTAATGGAGGTAAACTTTGATTTGGTTAATGTTGAAATCGATTTCTATGCGTTTAAAAAAAAAAATGTTTTTCCTTGCCATTACAATTTATATTGTAAGCATAATAATATAATATAATATGCTTGTAGACGTAAACCACAGAAGGTTAAACATCGATAATAATGTGTATCGATATTTCCTATTAAAAAAAAAATCGCATGCCCATATTTAACAATCGACAAACAATAATCAATATTATTGCAGCGCACCGCACAACAACCACCGTGTCTTATCCCTAATTTGGAATCCCAATTCCCTAGTATACCGATTACCGAATTTCTGTCTGTTCACTGTTGTGTAAAGTAAAAGTATTATTTGGGATTGCAGTAGTCCTCTATTGGAACTTGAAAATATATGAACGTCAGCAGGTTGCAGGACAGTCGCGTCGTTTACAAGGATCTGGTCGATAGTGTGAGTTTCTTGTTGTATATGTATTCCGTTTTTCGTGTTAACTGTTTACTGTTTAGTTTGTTCATTTGTAAGGATGCATCGTGCCGATAATTCTATTTATAATTCGTATTTAATACATCACAAAAATTAATTTTTCTTTAGAAAATAACAATTCCTACTCTGGACCGATTTTAGGTTAGTATAATTTGAGATTTACAATAATTTCGATCGTTTTCACGATAAACGTTTTAGTCTTGATCAAATCAAACGTCGTAACAATATCATAGCTGATTTTCCATAATCAGAAATAGCACCCGTTTGATGGAGTCTTAGATCAGAATTCCTAATCAATATGTCAAGTAACACTTGCATAGCAATTATTATAGCTAAAAATGAATTTGATAGCATTTCGGCATAAAAGCACTTTACCAGGCACCCTTTTATGTGCTATTTTTTGTACCATTGTGTAGTTTTTTTTACTCTGATTACGAATCTGAAGTAAAAAATTGGTGGATTCTTCTAGTTCCAAAGCTATACCAACATTAAATTTGTATATTTCTGTGTGTATAACAATAGGTTGCGGCTACAGCGGCAGCAACCCGTCGCTGCACAATACCTTTGTCTGCTATGCGAGGACAGGTTAGGTTCGGTTTCGTTAAGTCATTGACGCTTCTAGAGCGGTAGGTTAGGTTAGTTTAGTGCTTTAGACAAGCTATTTTTTCCTTTGGGAGTTTAAAGGCGTGAGCCCCCATCCAATGAAGAGCCCTGAAGACGCTCGAGTCAGCTCTCAAAGCCGGCAGGTGTAGGGAATTGTTTTATCAGTTAAAGATTTACTAACTTAAAGATTTAATACTTATAAAATTATATTGTTCATTACAATATTGATATTAAATCATTTATAATAATATAATAATCAATAATAATAATAAAAATAAATAAATATCTAATAATAATACAGTAGCGCGCACTCGTTCTGCGGACCAATGTATGGTGCCTATTGTTATACACATAAGAAGGTAATAAAAAAATTTGCTAAAAAAAGTGTCATTATCATTTGCTTATCGGATTTCACACGTTTACTTACTCTTTTAGTATGCCAACTACACATTGGCTTTTAAAATGTGTACATTTTATATTGTGTTCTCCAATTTTTTGTCTGTTTAAATATAACAATATTTTATAATTATTTCACCAGATTATTATTATACCTAAATATAAAAAAGATTTTAACTATTAATACATATATTTGCACCAACTACCGACACAGCTTATTCCTATTCTCTAGTATACCAATTACTAAATTCCCACTTGTGGTGTAAAGTATATGTAACATATTTGGACAACAGAATGGAATTTAATCTATTCTGTGTTTAGACTTAAGTCCTTTGTTGGAAATATATTAACGTCGGCAGCCTGCAGGACAACTGCGTACAAGTCTCTAGTCGATAGTGTGAGTTTCATATTGTATTTATTTGATGTTTAGTCTGTTCTCCTGTAAGAGTACCATGTGCCGATAATTCTAGGTTTGTATAATTATACTACCTTAGTATTAAATATAACATCACAAAAATATGTTTTTCTTTAGAAAATAACAATACTTACTCGGTACCGATATGATAGGTTAGTATAATTTGTGATGTACAATAATTTTGTTAGTTTCACGTAAAACGTGTGTTTTTGATCAAATCAAACGTTGTAATAATATCATAGCTGATTTTTCACAATCAGAAAAGCACGCGTTTGATGGAGTCGTAAATCCGAATTCCTCCTCAAAACATTAAGTTACACTCACATTATTATTGCTAAAACTGATTTTGATTGCATTTTCATTTTGTTAAATTTCATTAATTTTACATTTTTTCTTACTCTTTTTGTATGTCAACTACACATTGGCTTTTAAAATATGTACACCATATAAATTTCACCGAATAATTATTATATTCCTAAATATATAAAAGATTTTTTATCTTTAGTACACATAGGTGTTTCTCTAACACACCGTTTGGTCTGGACATTTTGTAAAAAAAAAAAACATAAATAGGTAATTATTACTAATTTACTCTAGTTACAATCTTTAGCTCTAGATGATAACATTATACGTTATCTGTACATGGTTACACGATTATATTTTTTTCATTAAATATAATGGAATACAGATCACCATCATGTAGATTATTGGGCTTTGAATGGCATCTACTTGAATTAATGATTTCTGCTTGTATAGTTATAGATTCCTGTAAAATATGGCTGACGAAAAAAATATTGGAGATCAACATAACAATACTGATCCAAAACAAAAATTTGAAGTTGAAATTCCTGGAAAAAGACAGTATGATATAGTTGTGCTAGGTGCTTCAGGATTCACTGGAAAACGTGTGGTTATAGAATTAGCTCGTATGAGCCAAAAATATTCACTGACATGGGCAGTAGCTGGTCGTAATGATATTAAACTTCAAGAAGTATTGGATAACGTAAATACATTTGTTGGTCAGTTCTTATCATTTAAACCTTTTAAATTAGAATAATCAAAACACTTTTGTCTTTTAAGGAACGTTAAAACCCACTGTTTAAATAATTATACAACAGTGGTTTTTTCGGTTCTCAAAATGACAAAAAGTACATTTCTACAGTTATTATTTTGTGTCTAATAAAATATGTTAAAGAATATTTTGTCATTAATTGTTAAAAGTTTAAATATTATTTGTTACAACACTTGTTTTATTCTGTGATTTGTATAGAGTATTCCAATCAAACTAGGAAATTAAAATTATGTTTTTCAAGAACTTATACACTTGTACACTTATTTAATATTAGATTAAAATTAAAGTTAGTGAATGGTAAGTATGCAAAAAAAATGTATAAAGTCACTGTTAAAATAAACTAATAGCTAATTTTTATCGAATAAGAATAATTTAAAGGGGCTAAGCGATTTTATATTACCAATACAATGTATAATATAAAAAAAAATTGTAAATTTTGTATTGTAACTTAATTATAAATTTTAAATTGAATATTCTATCTATTGAAAGATAAGATTATTTTTCAAACTAATGACATTCAATTTTTTAGCTATTGAATAATTTAATGTTTTCTATTATAAATCATACTAATAAAATGTGCAAGACTCGTTTTCTATTTTTTAGAACAATTACTTTTTAGGCATGCTGTAGTATTTGAAGTAAACATTTTTTTTTAGAATTGTTTTATTATATTGTATAAATAGTCTTGATTTCATTATACAAATTTAAAAATTTTACCTATTATTCCATTTTTGAACACTAATTATACAGAAAATATTTAGTATAGGGTTTCCCTGAAGGTTTTACACATTAAAATATAAACTGGGGCAATTAAGATTAAGTTTTTTTTTTTAGATTAATGACAAAATATTTAATTTTTCAAAAAAACTAAAATAATAAATTGTTGCATTTTTTAATTTATAACAAAAAAAACCAAGGGCTGTAAAAAGAGTTTTTTTGGAAAATTTTGACTGGTGGTTTACGAGTTCTAAATAAATACATTTTGAATAATTAACACTTGAATGTAGAGGCTGTTATGAAATAGAATTTTTATTTATGCTCAAGAGTATCTATTTACTGATTAACAGCACTTTACCTTTTGTCCAGTCATTTATATGCTAATAACTTCAAAAGTATTTATTAAAAACTTGTTATCGATTAGTGATTAGTGTTATCGATCAGAAATAATATGCTTTATAAAATGGCTATCATTGTTTTATTTTACATTAAAACAATTAATTTTTTCCCAAAAAAGCTAAATACTTGTCGTTTATAATCTAATGAATTCTATAGATTAAACAGAATTTAAACTTAGTGGGACACCTTATAAATGTATAAGGTTTATAATTAATACTTTCCGTGTCACATCATAGCTGAAAAAAGTATTAATTTAAAACTTTTATTTATTTATTTGGAAGCACTGAGTTTAATAAGTTGGCTTGTGCTACTTAGATTATCTCATAAAACTATTTTATAAAATCGATTTTCATATATTTATTTTTATATAGATGATTTTGATGCCAAACAAATTGGCATAATAAATGCCACAATTGAAAATTTTAAAAGTTTGGAGCAAATGGCATCTATCACTTCTGTATTAATAAATTGTGTTGGTCCCTATTACATATATGGCGAAGTAGTTGTCAAAGCCTGTATATCAAATAGAACTCATTACGTTGATGTAACTGGTGAATCCTTGGTGAGTTATTTAAATTTTACTTAAACAATTTATTCATAATAAAGTACTCAACTATATTCTGTCTTTCTCACTAATTTTTGTTTAATTTCTCTATTCTATAAAATAAAGTAAACTTTGAATCAGAGTCAAGAAGATTTTGTTTTTTGGAATACCTTCATAATGTGTTTTAAATTTAACTTTCTTTTTTTTGTGTAAACGTACAAAATCTTTTAAACAGCCGAACTGATTTCTTCATCAAGCAAATTTATAGACCAGAAAGATCTGAAAGGTCTTTTTTTTATTAGGTCAATAATTTAAAATATGTACCCCTTCCGCTTTAAAATCCAGAAGAATGCACAAAAACCTAGGTCAGTTATATTTAACTTAAAATTATAATGTGCTATAATTTTTTTATAAATTGTCTAATGAGTTCCAAATTTGTATGGAATATTGTTTAGACATGGTATTGATAACCATGTAAATGCATTGACAAACCAACAAAATATCAAAAACCCTTTACTCAAAATGTGTAGAAACTTTTTCTTTATTTTGATTTTTTAGGTGTATTTTTAGGACTGAAGGTCAAAAAATTAGACTGAAGATAGATATAAAGTGAGACTATAGCATAAACATTTTTGATATGTTTACAGGCTTTTAAGGTACATCTATATCTACGTATTAGCTCTGCCAATATTTTGGAAGCTTCTCATATTCCATTTTCAGTGTTGTTGCATGCTGTTTATGATGTTGTTAATTCTGTATGCAGATGATAAATAAAAGACTTCCAAAATGTTAGCAGAGCCAATATGTAAATATAGGTGTTACTGAAAAGTCTGTAAATTAAAACAACACACCTACAAACTTAAACCAATTTGCGTACAATTTTTCTCAAAAATCTGTAGTCAACCTATTTTTATTTTAGATAAAACATCAAAAGGGGGGCGACTTGCACTTGACTGTAGTCAATTTATAGGTTGCTATGGCAGAGTGAATCAAACTTTAACATGTATCTGAAAACTATTTGCATTATGTTTTGTTAAATATGATAAGTGAAAAACAACGGCAACAAATAATAATTATTATAGACAGACGAATGACGATCAACCCTAATTCTAACCATCCAATAATAAAAATATAATTTTGAGCACATAACTGTATTTATTTTTTCTACCATCTTAAAATTTGTGTGAAGCATTTATTTGTAAGTGTTTTTATCACATCCAGTTATAATAATTCGTATAGACCTGTCACTTTCCCTGCTCCGACCCGACGAAATTAGCTTTTTTTTGTAGTCTGGTATTGTTGAATCTGCATAGATTTAACATAATCCTACTATAATTTTTGCTCCAAAGCTAATTTGTTTTAATTTGCCAGGTTATATTGCTGCATTAGACTGGAGAAGCTCCGGCACAGTTAGTAAATTAATAAAATTGATATTTTTATTTATCATTGATCAGGTGTATGAGACATTTATAATATAAAGCCTTTTACACACCTAAACGCTATTGTCGCATACATTGCTGCTTGTTTAGAGAGCTTTAAGTGGCAGTAAATCTCCACAGAGTAACAATATCGGCGAAAATGCTTAGGTTAGGTCATAGTGTAACAATATAAGAAGATTGAATTTGTCAAACGTCCTAAGTGCCAAAGTATAAAAATTGAACTTTACATTTGATTTGTATTTTATTTATTACCGGAAACACTTAAGAATATATTTAAGTGTTAAATATGATTGTTTTTTCATATATAACTATTCCTCACTTGATAAATATACAAATTTGTTTCCCGTAATGGCTGAAATACAAATCAAATTATAAAGTTCAATTTTTATACTTTGGCACTTTGAACATTTGACAAATTCACTCTTCATATACTAACCCTAAAACCTAAAATAGTAGTTGCCCAGTGGGTAAAATTAAGTATTTTTGGACACTTGATTATAACAAAAAATCAAAGTTAAACATTTTAATTTTAAGAAAATAACAGTCGATTCTAAAAAAAATTTTTAAATGAATCACAGGTTTCTTAAACAAAACTTAGGTTGAATAAGTGGAGGTGGTGGTTTATTTACTCACTTTATTGAGGGTGACCCTTGTTCAGTCTTATTGTTAGTAATGGTAATAGAAAATTGTATTTATCTCATCCCATATAAATGGGACTAGCTGACCATAATATCCATACACTTCTTCAAATGTAGTTTCTGTTATTTTTTTCTGCTCTTCGCAAATTATCAACCCAACATTTTTATTCTATTTACTTTAATTCCAAACGCTCACTCATACATCCTTAACTCTTTGAATGACCCTTATTTGTCTTACATTACTAACCTCATCCAACAACACATGAACATAAAGAATTTTCTATTGTGTAATTTATAGTTTATGGAAACAATGGTACATAAATATAACAGCGAAGCTGAGAAAAATAATGTAGTCATTGCAAGTGCTTTAGGAATGGAAAGTGTTCCTGCTGATCTGGGTGTTGAATACCTGTATCAAAAGTTCAATGGTAATCTAATTTTTTAATAAAATTTTAAACTTTTAGAATTTTTATTGTTTTTTTGTAGGTGATTTACAAAATATTGATATTTATATGAAACTCTACGCCAGTGCATTTGAATTTAGTTCTGTAAGTAAATAAATATTATTATATATTTAATTTAATCATTTAAACTGTTTTATTAACTTAGAGCGGAATGATTCATGTTGGTACATGGGCCAGTGCAATAATTCATTTTGCAACAGCTAATGAGCGTGTAAAGATGAGACAATTGTTAGATGAATCCATAGGTATAACTACTAGACCAAAACCTAATATTACAAAGTATGTCAAAATTGTTATATTTTAATTAATGTAATATAAATAAAATATATTTAAAAACAAGTTACATTTTACTTAAAGCCTAACGGTTGAAATTATAAAACATGGAACATGCTTTAGCTTTTTGGCTCCTGAATAGTGATTATTTCTGATCTATAATCTCCTTGCGATTTATGACGATAGTATAGTCTTAATTATATGTTCTGGCCAAAACGTTTGTATGACGATGACGACTCGTTATTACTTCGATGGCATCTTATATATGAGCGATATATAATGGGGACCGCTGAGTAGAGGTTCTAAGGAAAGAGGCACAGGGACTGACCACATCAAAATGATTCGATGCATTCAAATCAATCCTAACAGAAGTAGGCCGCTCACGGTATTTCGTATCGCTAGTTTGTGTCGTTTTCGAGGTGGAAAACCAAGGCTAAAGCAGGTTCATGTTAAAAAAAGAATATATATTTATAAATTATTTATTACTTTTTAAAAACTATTATTTAAGTAAGACAATATTGAAAATTTAATTTGATCATCATTAATAGCAAACATTAGATAATACTATTTCAATATTGAATAATTAAATGGTTGCTATAATACATTTTTTTTTTTTAAAGTACTTCAACTTTTCAATTTGAAACAAATGAATGTAATTTACAATTTAACAGAAACTTAAAAAAGCCAGTTTGGTGGGGTCTGGATATAATGTTATATGAGCCCAGGACCCCAAGGTTATTGAAATGAATAAATATAACAATCGCTATTTATGAGTTAGAATTGATTTAAGTAACATATTAACAACAGATATAGAATAAATAATATTGAAATAGTATGACATAGTATTAAGGAATAGAAATCAGACTTAAAAAAGTATAGTAGTATGTACAAGTGAATAGCAAGACCATGACTGCTCGAGGGCGTAAAACAACGAGGTCGTTAGTCTATTATCACGCTAAACCCTTGTGTCAGAATATTCATGTCGGCTGACTCTAGCCAGACAACACAATGACACAATATACTCTATAGTCTATACAGTTGAACAAAATTAAATATTCAGGGTATTAATAATAGTAAGAATGGAGCATATTGAGGCGGGGAAGATCACGGGTCTGTATGAATTAATATCACTTTTAAATAAACACATCAATGCAAATCCGTGATAGTAGAAATACAAATATCGAAAAAAATCGTAGTACCTAATGACAATAATGTCCTAGAAAATTAGTTTTTTATTTTAGGGTGGATACTATTAGGGTTGGTTTTCTGTCTACAATAATTTATTGCCATAGCTACCCATGTATTGTATTAACAATATAATGAAAATATTTTCAAATACCCTTTGAATGTTAATTCAAACACTCATAGCTACCTAAAAAGGGACTATGATCAAACTGTAAATTTACCCTTTTTTGGGTTTTTCCTTAAAGTTTGACTACAGACTTGAGAAAATCGTATGTTATAGTCTCATTCTAGTTTTACCTTTGTTCTAATTTTCAGATCTTAAATCCTTAAGTTCACCAAAAAAAGCGAAATGAATAAAACGTTTCCACCTCATCTAGGGAAAGGGGCTTACGATATTTTTTTGGTTTGTCAACATTAATTTGTAGTATTATGTCTTAAGAATATTCCATACAAATTTGGAACTAATTCCCCTATTTTTGAAAACGTTTTAGAGAGCCGTAATTTTTAATTGAAAAATATGTACTATTGGGTGAATTTAACAATTGAGGGGAAGGAGTGAATTTTTTAAATTTTTGATTCAACAAAGTACATTGAAGGTACGATTTTCTGATGTATAGAGTTGAGACTTGAGTTACTACACGAATAAATTGGGTCAGCGTTTTGAAGGTATTGTGGATCCAGACACAATAAAAAACACATTGTAAAAACAATACCTTCACAGCTACGCATCAAAGCTAAAATATAATCTATTAATTATATAATATAATAATTATTTTTTTTTTTTTTTAACTAACTAATGGAATTTGATTTCTGTTATAGGATACTACATAAACAAGAAATTGGTAATCACATTCAGTGGTGTGTACCTTTTCCAGAACCAGATCAAGCAGTTATCGCTAGATCATTGCATCATGCTAAAACTGTAGAAAAGCGAAATATTAATTTTGAAGTTAGAAACTATATGGTGTTTGGCTATTTAATTTCAGCCATTATTGGGCTTTTTGTGTTTGTTTTTCTATCATTTATGTCTACATTCACTCCCTTAAAGAATCTATTTATTCGAGTAAGTATTAATCTCAAACACGTCTTATTTCTATATTACTATTGTTTGGTTAAACAAATATTTTTGTTTAGTTTCCTAGGCTATTTTCTTTGGGGGTTGTGAGTAACCAGGGACCTACTGAAAGAATTATGGAAAATTCACGAATGTCTTTAACTTTAATTGGCCGAGGAACAACATCCATCGATAATACAAACAGCAAAAAAGATATTAGAACTACTATTGCTAGGGTAAAACAATTTTTTATAATATTAATACATTTTTTATATTTTTATCTTCTTCACCTTATCCTATACAAATAAAGTTGCCATCTTTTTATTTACTCCACACACCTCTACGTCTACTATTCATCACATCTACCTCTACATTCCACTACCATGATCTTTCCAACTACTTTTAATTTTATACATTTAAGAATATTATTTATAGGGTTATAACTTTAAAATACATTACTATTTTAGATAAAAGTAAAAAATCCAGGCTATGGGTTTACAAGTAAAGCAGTTGTTTTAGGAGCAGTGACTCTAATCAAGGACAACATTACAAATGGGTATATTTTTATTTTTTTAATTAAATTTACACAATGATTAATTATAATTATATGTGGCCTGTATATTTTAGAGGAGTACTGACACCGGCATCAGCGTTTAGAAAAACTGATTATATGAAACGTCTAATTGAAAATGATGCTGCCACGTTTGAGATAATATCAGAAACAGTAAATTCCAAGCCACATACAGAATAAATTTATATGGTGTTAGTTTAAATTTGTAAGGGTTTTTTAAAATGTATTTTAATTCATTGTTTTTGTTTGTACCAATCTTTTTATTTTATATACTTACTCGTATGTCCTCTGAATACATATATATTACTCCCCGTTTGTTAAATTTATTACCTAATGAAATTCATTAAGAGATGAATAATTTATTATTATTTATTTTTATCCAAATAAAAAACATTTATGTTGTTATATAGTGTTTATTAAAATTAAGCCTCTCAATCTTCAAAATTCAGAGTTAACAAAAAACTATAGATACTACTACTTTTAAGTCAAGAACAGATTTCAAGTATGAAAAATTCTCAAAACTATAATTTTAAAATTCTCTGACAAGACGAGGAGCAGGCATCTTCTGCCTTCCGGGATGGTATGTGAACTAAGAAAAATGAAAGGTGGCAGTATTGCAACCCAACCTTGTGTCATTGCTCCTTCTCCTGATTACCATCTCGACTTGTGGATCATCCCTTTAGTATAAAATTCTATAATATTCAATATTGTGTTATAAATAGGAATTAACAGTACATTTAGACTTAAGTGCTTAATTATTAGATTTGTTATCAACAAAGTATCGCGTGGCGTAATATTATTAATTATATTATGATAATTTGATACTCTATTTATATACATTATATAGTTTATCGACAATATACGAGTTATAATGATATTATGGCTCACTAATTAAAAAAGGAGGGGACATTCCTCTACATCATTTATTTTAAAAACATTGAAAATTTTGTTTAGATGATAATTGTAATCATGAGCATGATTAATTTCACAATAAAACACTTTATACTTAAATAATAATGCCATCAATACAATTTAAAAAAAAAATTGCTAAAGATTTAAATGATTACTGTATAATTACAATCATTTTCAAGTACACCTTATAAATAATAGGAATCTAATAATTTACAAAGTGCTTGCAAATAGTAGAGCACAGAATGAATGCTTTTATAACACCATATTAAGTTTGTTATTATAATTAAAAAATAATATAAATAAGACAAATTAATTACTATCAGTAAAAGAGAAATAATTACAATAAATAAAAAACACGTTGATGTCTAAAGTAATAGAAAATAGTAACATTGTGGTCAGTGTCGGCCTGGCACCCAAGAGCCCCCATAAAAATTTCCTCAAAAAATACAGCCGGATTTTTATAAAGAAAAATGATTAAGATTCAAACAAAAAATGAACAATAATTTACAAGGGTGATGATCTGAGGAAGTGATTTTTCCCAGAAATTAATATCACTTTGTTCCACACCCCAAGTCACGACTAATTTGGAAAACAAATATTTATTAATGGTTAACTACAAACAAGATTTATAAAATATTTGTTAGGTATATTCTTGTTTTCTTAACAAAGGAAGAATAATCAATTTATGTATTATAAAGTATCAATACTAACTATAACTTGAAAAGTAAGTATGATAATCAATTTCTGTTTGCGCCGTTTTTTTAACATAAAGAATACAAATTTTGAAAAAAAAGTGAAAATTCACAATGTTATTGCACTTTTATAAACAAACTTTTTGATTATAACTTCAAATGTAAGTCTGACCGATTAAAACTGACTTCACCATTGTCATCAGAGTAAAAAAGCACACATTTTAAAAAACATGTATAATATGTTTTAAACAAGCCTATTAATGTTTCTAAAATAATTTGTCATTTTTATCTACATTCTGACAATGTTTTCATTTTCGGGAATTTCAAGGGATACCATAGAATGAACTTTTGGTTGCCATTGTTTGTTTCCCATACGGCTGGGGCCCCAATTTTGCGGCCGTGGCCAGACCGACTCTGATTGATGTTGTCTAAGATATTATTTCAATTGAACAATCCATTGCTGTGTTTCTGTAATAGGTTTTAATGCGCAACGGGTTAAAACATGGAATTAATGGATTCTGCAAAATATTGACTTGAAAGTTTGGTTTTTTTTCCACATTGTTTTTGGTTGAATTGGATTTACTTACAGCGCTCCCATAAACTTTCAACGAGTCCTTTCGATTGACGCTGGTCCAGTTAGTCACCAACCGATACATACTCAACTTCTCTGACAAAGAATTGTAATCTATGTCTTGCAACACCCTTAGCATCAAGTCGTGCAAGTATCTGGTGGTGTGCTGTTCCTTGTGATGTTTGGATATGTAATATTGGTTGAACACCCGATAAAGGAAATAATATATTTTCCTGAAGTCCAAATCATTGTCAGCTTTAGGTTTATCAGGCAAATTCAGGCATTCGGACATGATGAGAAATGCATTGGAGATCAATTTAAACTTATTATACTGGTTATGATCATTGTTGTAAAACGATTTCAAGTACTCCATCCATTTGTCCAGCACCTGACAGGGTCGAGTACCGCCTACAATAAACAAGTCGTCCATGGCGTTCAGGTCAACAAAAGATATTTCGTTCAAGTCTGGCGACGCCACTTCCTTCTTATACTCAAACCTAAGTGACCGTATCTTGGTCATTACCTGATTAACCGTCTTGGTCGGTACACAGGTTGTAAGTTTCTTGATGTCAACCGTTCCGTACATGTCGATGGCTTCGGCTAGCTGCAACTTCTCCTGTTCATTCCACTCTAGCACATTAGTCGACTTTCGTTTTGGAGGCAAGTTCCTTTTGCGCTTCTTTGAATTTGTTTGTTTTTGATCGCTGGACTGTTGATTTCCGGACATGTTTTATTTCACGCTGGCTGTAGACAGTGGACACTAAAAACGTTAGTTACTATAATATGTAGTCACTTTTTTTATAGTCAAGCGAGATGATTCATGATAGTATGCTGTGTGATTATCGACTTTTAACACTTGATATCACGGTTATCTACATCTACTAATAGATAACCGTGCTTGAGATAATTAATAATAACTATTATAAAATATAAAATAGTATAAATTTAATTGCTTTGAATCAGCTGATTTTATCGTTAATTATTTTATTTTCAGTTTCTAAAAATCTAAGATAATGAAAGAATCATATGCTAAAAATTAGTAGAATTCACAGACATTGAAATTAAATTGTCAACTGGCTGCACTTTGTACAATTTTGGGGACAACATAATATTATTTTAATTTGAGAAGTACTCCATTGAATTACTTTTTACAGATAAGCGATAACAGTTATCATTTGATAAGAGAAAGTTTTAAGTTTCTAGTTTTATGTCTTTATAATTCCGAATTCCGGCACAGAAAGTGCTTCAACTCTCTATAAACATTTTCTGAATGATTTCCCTAATTTGTTGATAAAAACTGGTACAAAAATTATTGATGACAATCTGTATGAATGATATTTTAAGGCTGAAGATTTATTTGTCTTCTAAACCAAATTTGCGGGACTCAATTTAAATCTACTAGGTGAGTTCTATTTGAGATTGTTAAGGGCGTGAAAATACATAAAGTCCATTGATATCATCATAAACATAAAAGTATAATTCATCTGATAAATTGTACCTTTCTTTCATAGATTATGAAATAATCGAAACTGAGATTACCAAAAAATACCTTGCAGTCTGATGGGGAAAATTATTGCTAACATTCACAACAGCCTCGAAACACTAAAGGTTTCTAATTTAAATAGAAAATATAACTTTATGATGTTTTAGTTTTTGTTTTCCTAATTCTAGTTATTTTGGTCATCGTTCTTGGAAAATGGAAGTGTTGCGTTTGACCGTTGGTCAGAACAAACTAACCAAATTGCTCTGGAAGTGTGGAATTTAGAAGCCATTCAAAATGCTCATACGAACGTGCACCTAGTTTGGGAACAAATATTAGAATCATGGTTACAAACCAAATGTACTATGCAACAATATGACTTAAATTTTATTATTGATACCTTGCAGTCAAAAATTATATGCTTAACTGGTTATAACTGTAAGTTCCTAATATTTTGATATGTATTGCGTTTTATTTGTTAATGTTGTATAGCACTGTTTTTATTATTAACAACAAAATATCAAAAACAATAAGTAGTTAGGAAATATTATAGTAGAACACTTGAATATAACAAAACATACATTTATACTTTCATTATTAAAAATTGGTTCATCATAGGCCAATTTTAATGCCTACTGTGTTCAAACTATATAATTTAAAAATTAAATAAATATTATTTAAAAGTTATGATGAATTCATTTAATTTTTAATTTTGATTATTTAAAATGAATTTCATTAATTATTTTTAGTGAATCGTACTCACATATATATTGGCTGTGCTGGACTGTTTGTGGGAAGTGGTGTTGGGTTTTTGATTGGTATAAATGTAAAACCATCAGCAATAACAGTGACTCATATGAAAGCTGCATCGGCAACCAGTTACAATGGCATTGAAGTATGTAATACTGTTAAAGTTATATCTAGTTAATAGTAACTGATAATCTAAGTTAGTATTATACTATATATTCGACGCAAAATCATACCCCATTTAACTTCCAACTTGGAATTTGTTGATATTTTTTTACAATGTGTGGTAATCAGAAATATTAAAAAAAATTAAGTAGCACAAAAAATAGAGGTCTCAATATATTTTGTAATTATGTGTACTTTAAACTTATGTTTACATTTTTTTTAAATATGTATTCTAAAATTTGTATTAATTTTTTAATTAAAATAAAAATTACAAACAAATTTTGCCCCAACTGACTTTTATAAGTACGTCAAATAGCTCTTTAGTATATCTACAAAAATATTTTTTATAAATTCAATTATTATATTATTATGAAAAAACACAATTAAAACCTTAAAATAATAAAAACTAAGTAGAAATATTTTTAATTAAAAAAAAAAAATCATCAAAATTAACATTTTGGTTGTAAGTTTTACTGTTCTTATTTTTATCATGAACACAATGACATACATTTTTAAAAAAAATCAAAAGCCTCTTTTAGTAGATGTGAAGTAAAAAAAAAAATGCCAGCTAAATCCGAGATGCTAAATTCAAAATTGGTTCTATTTTTTCAGTTAAATACCACTTATTATATGTGTGTGATGTGTATGTTGTAAACACAATCAAACATAAACACATAATCAATACATATAAAACACATTGTGTAATTTAATAAGTTTTTTTTTTTAGGGTATAACTTTGTTAGAAGATGTTGTAACACCAGAAATAATTAAACCCAATCAAGTAATGATTATGGTCAGAGCAGCTGCAATAGATCCACTAGACGTCCTGGTTGCTTCTGGGTATGGATCATTTTTGCGCAAGTTTTTGATCAAACAAACATTACATGTAAATAATTAAACAATTCAATGAACTTAATATGTTTATAAATAAGTTTGTGTAAAAAGTATACTTATTTTTTACTACTAGAAATCATTATACCGAGAGTTTCCACTAGTATTGGGTCGTGACTGCTCTGGGGTTGTCATTGATATAGGGTCAGAGGTGAGGCGTGACCTTAATATCAACGATGAAGTATGGGTATCTCTTCCCCCATGGGCCCCCTGTGGAACACTGTGTGAAACTATAGTTGTACCAGACAAGTATGTTGTTCACAAACCTCGCAAATTACCTCATGAACAAGCTGCTACACTTCCATACTCTGGCTCTATGTCTTGGCTGGCTGTATTTCAAACGGCTAGTTTGAATCCTCTAAATGCTGTAGATAAAAAGTAAATATATTTTTATATTATATTTTTTTTATTAACTAGTATTTAATGTTAATACTTAATTTTTTAGAGTTCTTGTATATTGTGGTGATTCCGGTACAGGATCAATAATTGTTCAATTATGTCGTTACTTAAAAACAGATGTTACAGTAGTTTGTTCTAATCGTGCATCTAATTTTATGAAATACCTTGGTGCTACCGACACATACGAAGACGGTACTGTAAGTATAGACCAGTTATTGAGCAACACACCATCAGGGTATGTATCATAGTCGTTATAAAAACTCATATCAAAAAGTAATGTATTTTATCATTTTAGTTTTGATTATGTGTTCAACACTGCCGGAGAACAAAAAAATAGTTTATGCAAACAATTATGTAACATAAGTGGCATGGTCATTTCAGTTGGACCACATAGATTGCCATCAGATTCATATGGTTTCATCCGTCAATTTTTCTATGCATTGTGGTTAAAAATGACCCATGTGAGTGATACCATTGGTTATACATTTATGCATATAAATACATTTATATCTGCATATACTTACAGGTATTTAAGAAAAATAAAGATTGGGACTTTTATGAATTTGACTCTAAAAGAATATTGAATGAACTAACCAGCTTGGCAAACGACCATGTTCTTCGGCCAGTTTTAGATAAAACATTCATGGAACATGAGTTAGACCGAGCATTCAGATACATTGATAGTGGAGAGACTGTAGGAAAAGTAGTAATTAAATTCAGGTATATTCAAAAATCAATAAAAAATGTTGGCAATGGAAAAGTAATGTTAAATTTGTTTTTAGCACTTTGACCGGTCCAGCAGTCACGATGCCTAGACCTTCAGGAATTTTATTTTAGAATATTAATTTTAGTTATAATTTAAGTCTTGAAAATCTTTAAAAATACCAATTTTTATTTTTAAAATCACGCAAATTAAATAAATTATTGTATTTGTAATAAAATAAAATATTGGAAAGTAATCTATGTGTATTTATTGTTTAAATTTCATATTTTGTGAAAATAAACTCTACATTTATAATTGAACTTAGAATAATAAAAAATCTACAAAGCTAAAGAAGAAAGGAAAATAAGCAATTTCAATTGAATTATGTTTATTACTTTAAACGGATAAAATGTCATTCTCATAAGTTATGAGTCATAACGATATTCATACAGTTTAAAACAAGCTCGCCTTTTGTTAGGTTAATCAGGTTAATTTTATATACAATTTTTAGCATGAAAATATAATTATTATTTAATTTTTATATTATGATTGGCGTACAGATAACTGCTAATAGTCAAAAGACACGGTAGCGATGGCAGTAACCTTTATTATTAGGTATACTTATCAGTCCGGATGTTAATTAAGAAAATCCACCGCACTGATTTGGTTGACAGAGGAAGGCATGATCGAGAACATCACAGGTTTTTACTTTGTGAATTTTCGCCCACAAGCGAAAATGTCAAACCAGACAGCATACATGTATATATATCTTACAAAAAGCTCTTATGTTAGCTATGAGCTAAAAGAGTATGTCATAAAAAAATGGAATTTAAGTATTATAATTTTGAATATTCGTTTATTTTAATAATATTTGTGACTTAGATTATTCCTGTTTAATATTTATCAAAATCAACACTAAAGAATTCAACTAAAAAAAACTCAGTGCATACATCTAAACGATGATTTGGAAATGAGTCAACTGTCATAATATTTACAAAAGGCATTGCTAGATTCTTATTTTGTAAAATTACAATTTTCATTTTAAAAATAAAATGAAAATAACAATCTATATTGAATTTTAAAATATTCTTATATTAAATAAGCAAGAATTTTTGAACTTTTTAACATAAGTGTAGAAACAAAATGACAAATTTTACAAATATAAATAAAACATTTAGTAGTTAGAAATTACAAAACTACCCAACGCATAGCAGCTCTCAATCTGTTGTAGTCTAATAATTGTTCAACTGGACCAACTGCAGCAACAGCAGGACACCTGTCAAACAAATACTTCATGGCAATATTGTGAATGTCCTTGGCAGATACATCCTGAAAATAAAATAACAATTTTAGATTAATATCATTAAATTCGTATTAAAATATCGCTAACAAAAAAAAATTTTGAATAAAAAAAAAAGGGTTTTAGCTTCAACGTAGCATTGTGAGTCGTATATTGTTGTATTCCCTTGCCTTACCGCATCTATTAAATTTAACTATCGCACATCTGGCGCTATAACAGCTAATGAAAGAACACGACAACAATAAGCGATTCTTTATTGCTGGATTACAGTCACCAGTCTTTAAAGTATAGATGTCCGTGGATTTGACCATTGGTTTTAACAAAATAATTTATTTGAATGATAAAATCACTCATAAAAGTATATATAGATTCATATAATCTAAAAATATATTTTTTTATACAAAAGTTAAAACAATTAAATAAAAGTTTAAATAGAAAACTGAATAACAATTCTCAAATTTGTATTAATTCTTGTTACATATTCAACAGAATTAAGAGGATGTTATACTCTCTTATTTAGTAAGGAGTTCAAGTATAGGTAATTTTTTGCGAAATGTTAATTTAAAACTTAAACTGTAGTCTGTAGTGAGGAGGCTAGTGCAATAAGGGTATATAGACCTACATAATATAGTATTTGCCCTACATATAGTATAGATTTCCATAGGTTATACGCCATCATGGGCCACCACAATAATTATAAGTTTAAAATGAAGATAGAAATAAAAATATAATATTATTAATTCTGATTGAAATTTACATGTTACAAAAATTATATTTATTGACAAAATTATTAGAATAATGTGTTATTTTTTTTTATTGTGTTAAGACAAGTACCTATTCTGTTTTTTATTTTACTTAATGACCATTGACGTAGCTATTTTTATGTCACAATAAAAGTTCCACTGTATTAACCTAGAACCAGCGACTACCAGAAAGAAAAGTTATACTAGCATAAGGTCAGACCTACCAAGTTTATATTATTATGTAGATTAAACTTTAATGAGTATTTTAGTTAACTAATAACTTACATTTATACGAGCTTCCAATTCATGGGGAGGAATACGTCTATTGTAACATAACATTTGTCTGCCAATATCTTCACACACTTGAGTTGTTGTGTCCAACTGCAAAAACATATTTGTCTTCAAAACATTCTTTGCGCGTTCAACTTCAGCTTCAGTAACTGAAGCACAGAGCCTCATCCATTCTTCTTGCAAATGATATGTGAACTCCTAAATTAAAATTTATTTATTTCAGTTTATAAGTCATTCATGTTTTTGTAGTAGTTCAAATTTAACACACCAAGATTTTCATTTTATCACAAACAAAGTAGGCTCCCCATAAACCAGTGTCTTTGTAACAAGTGTTAAATGACTGGAAGGAGTGTACTAAGTTTTCAGTATCAGCTACGCGAGCCAAACGGTTAGCATTATTGTTACCACCACCTTGAGAACGGTCCCAAGATCCTATTAAAGTGTTGGCTACCATCAATGGTATGTTATCAGCATCAGCCCAGCCACAGCTTTCAACAGCAATAGCAATATGTGCTAGAGGTAAGGAATCATCTCGAGCCTTAATTTCCGAGCCTTCATCATTCATAAAAATAAAAATTAAATAAATCATACTATAAAATACAGTTAAATTTGCATAGTAAATAACAGAAAATTATTCGTACCAGTAAATCTGCAATGTTCATAATGTGGGACTTCGGCTTCAAATTTCATGTCAGTTGGGTTCTTAAACAGTTTCTTGGCAAGTTCAACCATTTCATCATGATTAACGCCTCCAGCTCCAGCCAAAACAAGACGAGAAGGCCTGTAGAATATATCTACATACTCTTTGAGATCCTTTCGCTTAAGTGAACTAAAATTAATTTGAACAACTAATCAATAAATAACAAAGACATATTTTAAATAATATAGGTTAATGACAAATTATCGGAAATACAATTAAATACTTATGTTTAATACTATTAAAAGTATGTTATATTCCATTGACCAGAGCGTTATTTTTGCCAATTAAAAAATGTTAAAAAAATTCATATAACTTATTTTTTTATTATTAGTTAAATGATTTAAATACTGTCCAAAAAAATTAAAATCCAATCAGTATTAATCAAGCATATAATATATATTCCTTCTTTTCTGTACACAAATTTTCCTAAACAATTTAAAAGACTTAAAATATAAACCCAAAATATTAAATTTTTTTTTTCATGGAGTTTCATGGAGTAAAACATGTTTTGTTTCGCATGTAATTATTTTATCATTTTACAAATAACTCTTGCGCAGTTTACAACAAAATTAAAAACTATGTATATTAATTAATGTATATCTTTATATATAAATGTCTTCAGTCCGTGTGTAAGTATGCAGAATTCATTATTTAATATCAGATTGTTAATGTATAATAATGATTTTTAATATTTGAATTATTAATTATAATTATTTAACTAAAAAAAGTACTAAAACAGGTATTTAAATTTCTAAAATGAAAGCTATCTATTGTATAAAGAAAATTAGCATAACCTTAAGAAATATTAACAATTTTTAAGCTTCATAATTTAAAGATTAAGACGTACTACAAAACTTACTTGATATTTTCGGTTGGTCCCAATATTGTTTGACCTAATGGTGTACCTTGGTAAGCAGTAGCGTGTAAATAATCGAATACAACCTCTTGCAAATTAGTTTCAACTTCCTGCATTTCTCTAAGGATTACTCCACGCTCTCTTTCAATTTCTTTTTCTCCTAAAAAATAATTGGTAATTTTGCTAAAATAATGACATTATTGAAAGACGAAATTAGATTTTTTTTTTACTGAACTACATAACGATAAAAAGAGTTTATTGTGATACAGCATTTATAAATCATCAAATATAATTATTTATCTATTCAAGCTTTGTGGCCAATACTTGACAAGTACATACCAAGTTCGGAATTTTGAATAATATCAGCCAGAATTTCAACAGCCTTTGGCACATCACCTTTCAAGGACTTTGCATAGAATACAGTTTGTTCCCTGGACGTATATGCATTCAAATGAGCGCCAATATTTTCAATTTCCAACTCTAAATCAAGTTGTGACCTTGATGGAGTTCCCTAGAGTATCAAATACGTTAAGTTATAATGTTATATATCGTCGCAAGCAAAATTGAAATGAAATACCTTAAATATCATATGTTCCACAAAATGTGCAACACCATTGTTCTTTGGCGTTTCCCATCTAGAACCCGCGTCAATCCACAAACCCACAGTAGCGGTCAGAGACCCGTTATCCTCAGTAGCTATCCGCATTCCATTCTCGAGTGTAGTAACTTTGGTTTCAGGAAAGCTGACTTGAGCGGCGCATGATGCGGCCGTAGAACGCCAACACTTGGACACCTAAGAGCCACTTGGTTAGATAACTAAGAAAATAATTTTAAAAGTCAGAAACACGTTTATTCTTACTTGAACGACTCCAGATTTGTACGACAAAACTTTCAATGGCGCTTGTACGGTTAATAGGCGAGAAGCCATTTTGGAGATCACAAAATCGGTATTACTAAAATTGATGAACTTTGAAAACGATCGTAGAAGTTAGAACACGCTCAAGGACTAGAAAAGAACACGGAAAATTAAGGTAGGATCTCTACAATTGTTATCAAACGTTAAACATATGAGCTTAGGTACAGTTTGTCCAGATGTAAACAAGTGCATAATGTTGTTTCTACTAGAATTATTAGGCTTTTTCTTCCATGAAAAATGGCGCCAAACAAAATTCAAATAAACAACGCATTTGTTCGAAATAATTGTTTAACTTGTTTATCATCTAAGTTCTACACTTATTTTAATTTTTTAAGTATTAATAGATAGTTTTTGATATAGTATTATTGTACGGGTTATTCATTAAAAGACAAAATATATATGTTTTGTTGTTTACTCGCTAATCGCTATTATCATTTAGGTAATAGAAGTTAATTAAACTTTTCATTTATTAACTATTATCAATATTTTAAGTTTTAAAACCTCTCAGTATTAGAAATAATGTATACACACTAACAACTAATTTGTATATTTAACTCAGTGATTGTAGGTATAATATCCAGCACAGTGGGGTCAGAGCAAAGTGAGGTATTTATGTATAGTCACATGACTACAGGAATTATTATAACTGAAAGTAATAAAACTACTTTCAATTAAACACTGTGAACATCTAAATATGGTTGGAATATGGCCAATATACTATTAGTCTGTTTTTTAATTTTTTTATAGACCTATGTTTATAAAAATCTTTTAGTATGACCAAGAACCTACGCCAGCTAAATATACGAGCATATAGAAATATAAATACAGCAAAATAAAGCAAAATACAAATATATTATTTGTATCAAACCTTATGTGTTTGTTTAAAATAAAAACTGTATGCGCTAGAAACCACGTTATGCTTATTATATTATAATTATCATACAAGTATAGATATTAAATTAATTAATATTATTGAATATAATTAATATTGTTTATCTGGGTCATGGAATATAAGTAATAAATATTATATAACCTTATATGGTAGTCTATGTGTACACTGAAGAAATCATGAGTAATATTTAAGTTGTTTATACAAGGACCAATTACGTCTGTAACCTAGATTGTATCGTATATAAGACATAGTATTAAGGTGTTGGATTTACCATTCTATTACGGCTGCTGTTATAATTGAAACGTACGTTGTATATATATATATATATTATTCTCTATACTGTGTGTGTTTTTATATTTAATAGTATTGTGTTAAACATATTATTGTTGTGTTTTATTTTCTACTAAAATACTAACTTCCACCAAGATATACAGGCGTATATCGCAATAAATATGATATGTTATATGACTCAACCAATGTTATTGTTTTAATTAAGTACTTAGGTATTGGCCGTTAGATAGTATAATAGGCACCTAATGTTTTAAATGCCTATTTTGTCAAAAATTACGAAAATTGTTTTAGAAATATATTGCCTTGCACTTAGGCCGTAAAAGTATAGTAAAATTTCTGTAGACATTATGTTATGCGCGTATATAATTGTAAAAAAATTATAAATGCAAAAATTGTAATGGGCTACTTTATATTATGGACATTTTTAAAGATGTAAGTAATATCCATAACAAAATATTGCTATAATTTCATTCATTTTTGCTAACTTAATGCGTTTTGAAACAAAATGGTTCTATCATATATACCAAAACTTCCTTTTAAAACTTTTTCCAGACTTCAAGACATTAAAAGTATCATTCAATTCGGTCAAGTAGTTTTCGAGAAAATTTCGTTAAAAAAATCAAACCCTTAAAAATCAAAGATGTATTTTTTACCCTGTTGTAAAGGTTGACCACCTTATGGTAATGACACTAACCGAACAGGTTGCAGGTGAATATTTTGGTAAAATAATTTTAAACATTACCTACATACTGTAAAAAACAAAAGCATAGGTATATTTGGTTTAAAATACAACAAATGTATAGATGAAATATGAATAGACAAAGTCTGCGATTATACAGTGCAGTGTAAACAATGAATAAAATGCGTCAACCAATGTACGAGTAAACAAGTTGTTTATTTCAAAAGCTGTTGACTATTTACTAACTCAATACTTGGACTTAATACATGTTTAGTGCGCTAGCTGTAAAGTTATATATAATAATATAATAATATGAAATGGCTTTATGTTTTTTTCATGAGCTCCGGGTCATTTTTATCTACTACGGCCGTAGAAGTAGTACCCAGTAAACATACGGATACGGCATGCCAGTTTCTAATGAATTATGGTTGGACAAATCATTGGAAATCTCAATTCAAAGGCACGAAAATTCAAAACATCATCACACCAGCTTATACTGAATGCAACCAGCCATACCCCGACAACTATAAAATAAAAAAATACGCGATATTCATGCAACAGTTCACGAATTGTTATTTCGCTGAAACGGTAAAAAATTGGTTGGTTTTGTTTGATGTACAAAAATCCAAATTCTTTCCGTATTCGAAAAGCAACGAACATTGGAACAGTTGGTGGTCACTGGTGGAAGACTTTAGCAATATAATGCCGTTTTGGGCCGATACCTTCCTTGTCTTCGAGCAAGGGTTACCGAGGCTTTCAAATCAAAAACACTTAACACGATCGGCACGGTTGTTAAACTGGTTAGGCGCTTTCGACGAGAACGAGCTACGCAAGAAGGATAATTACGGGCAGAAAATGTTTGCCCGTATGCAATTTATTCATTCGTCGGCGTTAGACTCGGTAATAAAATATTTTGCTAAAGAATGTACCAATAAGAAAAAATCAATTTTGAAAAACAAACGAATAAACGCCAATATACAACCGACAACAGTCTTGTCGCAGTGGTCTAAACAATTGAGGGATCTCGTTCAGAGTATGGCACTGACGGAGGATATTGACGACGAGTACCAGCGGTCTTATAGATACAAAAAGATTGCATTAAATCCATCTACATTTATTTCTGGCGGCAACAAAGTCTACTGGTGGTGGAACGGAGTCAAAAGGGAGGTGATACTCGTTTACAACGAGCTACAATACTACAGCGGCGAATACAACAAGCTCGTTCATTACCCTGTATATTTGGCATTCACAATTATGGCCACATTCTATAATCATTTATATCGTTACTTAAGGATTTACATAGATTACTTGATGACTAAAGACACCAGCCGATTTGGTTACGTTACCAACGAAGACCCGAAATACTTAAGATACGTTCGTAAGGCGATCGCATCGGTTTCAAAATTAAACGGTAATGGCTCCTATTTAATATCGTTAGTGCAAGTTGCCAACCGCATCGAAAGTCCAGCACGCTGTCAGCTATTAACTTGTCTCTGATCGTCAAGGTCCAATTAAACACTTTTGACAACTTTTTGGAAATTGAATTTTCCGACGAAGAAAAAGATAAAGAACTCGTCAAAGATGATGACGCGACAAAGAAACTCTTGCATTATGAAACACTCATATCTCAATATATTTCATTTCTAACCGAGATTTTTGGAGATAATAGTTACTTCGATAGAAGTTTTAGGTAATATATACTTATTGTACAATAACCTTATATGAGTATGTTTAAATCAATACATGGATGTATAAGAATTTAGAAAATAAAAAAAATATTTTAATTTTTCCCATTTGACTGTGTATTACAAATATTTTTCATTCACGATTTACCTAGACATTTTAAGTACTTGTAAAATATTGCCATAGATCAAAACTTAATACTAATAATATACATTATTATAGTGGCGCATTGGTATTTAGGTATACTACATTTTATTTTAACACTGGCTATTCTTGTCAACGTAGTATTACAATCAATCGAGCAGTATTATAATTTTTAATCGATTATTATTATCCTATCTCAGGTTAGGTTAGGTTAGGTTCTCTATTTCGTAATATATTTTTAACAAAGCGTATAATACATTCCTAAACATTACATATGGCTTGTATTAAGACAATTTTTCGATTGAATGTCACGGAACGGACAGTAGAGATATTAAGAAAAATAATTTAGTCTACAAACTTTAAGTCAACCTACGCAAGGGCCAAATCAGGGTAAATTCATAAGCATGGAAATAATTACTTACGTTAGGGGAATAATTTAAATGTTGAATATTTTTATTTTTTTCAAATTCCAACTGTTTAAATAAACACTTTTAAACAAATTTTATACCTAGCTTTTCAAAACAATATAACAAAAAACCGTAAACAATATTTAGGACAAAACAAATTGCTAGAGTACTTACTGCGTGTCTACCGAATTATTTTACAAATATCTGATTCACTTAGAATTTAAAAACAATGAAAATCCTTTTAAACTTTAATTACTTGAAAACTATTTAGTATTTATTCAAAACTAGTTATCGACTACCTAATTAAAATTGTCAGCAATTGTTAATTTAAAAATGCAATTAAATGTATATTTGTAGATTCTGAAACTTAATTATCATTAAAGTTCCTAAAGGTAAAAATTTAAATAGTTACTATATCTATTAACGTAGTTTAGCATCAACAAAAATGTTTTCAAAAAGAATAGCTACAAAATTGTAATCAATATAGGTATATTATAAAAGAAAGTCTACAATATGTGCGTGCCGTTAAAACTCAGAAACGAGTCCTGGTACGATCAAGGGAGTTGGTGTGGTAGGCCTCTATCCCCCATCTATGAAGATGGTTCCCGTTTTTACCTGAAGGGCGTGCTTCTGAAGATATAAGGGCTGGAAGTTTCACCCTATAGAAATTTCTAGAATATTCAAAAGTATTCAAGGGCATTCCACAACATTGTTTTGTTTGTTTATAAGGTAACTTATGGTTTTTCTGTTTTTATTTTATTCTGGAACGTTCCTATAGTAGTTTAGAGTATACCGTATTCGTGTATATTCTAGAAAAAAAATATTCGATCTCTGAGGGTATTTAAGACGAAATTCGTCGCACGTGGGTCAGTATTATATCGACAGCTACAGTGCAGTACAGTGAATTAAATGTGAAAGTTTATTGTAGTCTCGAATCAGAATATTCGATGTTTAAAGGTATGTAAAATAAATTGATTATACGAGTGTTAGTATATATTCTCGAAACAGAATATTCGATTTTTACA